CTAATCGTCAGGAGGAGGAAGAGGGCTCGGGTGCCTCAGTGAGGCCAGCTGCCCTCTTGGTTCGTGTTTATCCGCCGCCCAGATCCAGGACTCACCGTGGTCTCGCGGGCGTGTGGTCACTTCTGCTCACCCCAGGCTTGGACCCGACAAGCGTGCTGCAGCTCTCACGGCTCCAACACAGCTCCCATTTCTTCTCAGCCTGTGGTTGAAACCACGTGTAAAATAACTGCTTCAAGGTCGAGTCTCTTTCTTTTCAGGCTGTTCTGGGGGAGGGAAGGCAATGATTGCTTTCACTACCTCAACTTCCATTCCTTTCCCACTGGTCCAAATTTATGCTGTCTTGGCTGTGCACTCCTCTGCTAATCCTGCTAATCCAGTGTCTTCGCAGCGCTCACTCGTCCTGCCCGCCCGTGGGCAGTGTCTCTCGGCACTGAGCTCCTGTTTGATTTCTGTGTCACGTAGCTCCTGCGCTTCAGCCCTCTCCCTGCTCTCCAGACTTCCTTTGCTGCTTTCCCCACCCCATGCCGCTTACGCTCCGGGGCTCGGGGTTTATCCTCACGTCTCTACCTGGTCACTTCCCTGTGTTACTTTTTCTTCTGTCACTGACTGGTATGAGCTTTTGCTTCAGAGATGATGGGAAGTACAACAGGCAGCAGCACAGGTTTGCAGGTGGAAGCTTTAACTGGGAAGAGAAAACGGGCAGGAGCTTCAGCTCAGGGAGGAGTGCTGGTGGGGCCGGCTCTGACGAGGCTCTGGCTGATGGTTATCTGTGTTGTGGTTCTGGTTCTCCAGCGTGGCCTACAGAGGCCCTCGTTATTAAGGAGGCCGTGCAGTTTTTGTGAGATGGTGGCCGCTCCTGAGGCGGGGCCGTGTTAGCTTCCCAGAGGCCCTGCTGGAATCCAGGGCAGCTGGGGAGTGAGGGCAACGACGGGCGCTCCCAGGTGTCTGTGCCAGGGCAGTGCCGCAGGTCTCTCATCTCAGTGTCCTCAGTCGGGAAAGGGATGAGGTAACTTAGATCAATGTAGAATTAATAAACTTGGTTTATAGAGTTTTTAGAGAGACACTCCCTAAGTGACTAATATCCCTCTATGCTAAGTAGGGGTCTGACCCAGAGTTTAAGGTAATGAAGGATTGTACAGCAATTAACCACTAGGAAGAATGTATGCAATGTGTTAATTATTGAAACTGTCCTACCAATTTGGTTTGAAAAAAATAAAATTAAATTAAATTAAAAAGTAAAGGAGATGGAATGAAAACAGACTCTGAGCTTTGTCAGTTTCTTACCCATGGGGCATCTGTAGGCCTAGATGAGCAGTTACTGTTTTCAGCAGCATTTAAATCCCTGATTGTCTCTGAAGAAAACTCAGATCATATTTTTGTTGTGTTGCTTGTTTTGAGACAGAACCTCACTGTGTAGCCCAGGCTGGTCTTGAACTCGTGACAGTCCTTCAGCCTCAGCTGGCCAAGTGCCAAGATTGCAGGCGTGTCATGCCATGTCTGGCTCAAATCGTGCTTTTATTGAGTAACAGTTTAAGGGGCCGGAGTTCGTTGTCCTCTCTTGCTGTAATGCTGCAAGAGGTTAATTTTTCATCATCGACTTCTGTGGCTTCGGGGCTGCACCTGGCTTCTGAGATCGTGTGGCAGCTGGAGCAAGAGGGGAGTAGGGAGAATGTGGTCCTCTCGGTGGCAGTCTGCCGGAGTTCAGGAGACGGCACTCCCGCCCGGCCCTGGCCTCTGTCTCACCTCCATAGCTGTGTATATTCATGATTAACAAGTCGCAGGATCCTGTTGTCTGTCTCTGTTCTGATCCTCATTTATGTGTGACTGGAGAGACAAGCACCTTGCTGCAACTTAGTTTTTGACCCTGATGTTCCTGGCACCAGCTGCCTTCGGGCTCCCTGCCTTGCTGCAGGTACTTCAGATTCGCTTGTCTCTAAGTGTTTCTCTTGTCAGCCTGCTTATCTGTCACCGTGGTCACCACCTGCTTGTCCTGTACAGCTAGAAACCTCAGGAGTTGCTCTTGACTCTCTTGCCTGTCACATGTAGTTTGTAACTGTATCCTGCCAGTTCAACTTGTGAAATAATTTTCTTTCTTTCTTTTTTATATTTTAGCAAAGGGTCTACAGGGTATTCAAGGTCTCACTACTAGATCAGATTCATAACGATCTACCTGTTTACAGCCTCCCAAGAGCTGGGATGGGTTTTTTTTGGTGGCTCCAGATTGCCTCCAGCGCTGGTCTGGGTTGCCTTGAGTATCTGGGAATCGAACCACCGCTCCCAGAGACTGACTGCTTCATTTAAGCAGGCACTTAAACAACTAAGCTAATGGGCAGGCCCCCCAAGAGCTGGGATTATAGGTGCGTGCCACCATGCCCAGTCTCAGTTGCTGTCTCAGTGCACCCCAGGGGCGGAGCCGGCATGCAGGCTTGGGGATCGAAGCCCCAGCCCCTGCACCTGCTTGCAAGCACTTTAATCTGCAGAGCTATTTGGACAGCCCTTCTTTTTTTCTTTTTTTAATCTTATTTATTTATTTGGTGCAGGGTCCCACTACGCAGCTCAGACTCGTCGTGATCCTCCTGTCTCAGCCTCCCCACTGCTGGGATTACAGGTGTGCAGCACCACTCCCAGTCTCAGTGGCCAGCACAGGCATGTGGTACAAGGGATCGAACCCTGGTCCTTGCACTTGCCAGCCAGGTGCTTAGAGTGCTGAGCCATCTCCTTAGTCCAGCACTCATATTTCTTAAAAAAGAAATATAATCTATGATTGTGTCGCTTCCTGTGACTAACCATGACAGTCTTTATGGCATTCTGTTTCCTGTAGGATGAATCTAAGGTCCTTGGCATGGCAAAGCTTTACAACCTGTTTCTAAAACTAAATTGCGAACTTTTACAGGGCAGAGTGTAGATCTTAACAGTTTCAGCATTGCCATAGCAGAATATCTGAGATGTCGTGGAATTTCATGATGTCCTAGAGGACTGCTTGTGGAATGTGAAAATGAAGCAAGAAGGGCCAGCCAGATAGCTCAGCAGACTACAGCACCTGCTTAGGCCGAGCACAGCGGCCAGGTTCGATCCCCGGTGTGCTGTGCCAGCTCTGCCCCCCAGGGCCGCTGAGATGGTGATTCAGACTGTGTGTAGTGACTCGAGTTTATAATCCCAGACTTGGGAGGCTGAAAACAGGAGGATCACTATGAGTCCGATCTACATAGTGAGACCCTGAGCACCCTGTAGAGCCTGTACCAAATACATCTAAAAAAAAATAAGAAAAAGAAAAAGAAGAAAGAAAGAAAATGAGGGGCCAGGGAGATGGCTCAGGAGAATAAGGGCTTCCCTGGCAAGCGCAAGGGCCTGAGTTCAATCCCTGGTCCTGCAAAAAAAAAAAAAAAAAAAAAATGAATCAAGAGAAACCCTCCCACACTGAATCGGAAGAGGCCCCTGTTGTCCCACAAGCTGCAGCTAAGGGAAAGGTCAAGGACCTGGAGGGGAGGTGATTAGGGTGTTCTGTGCATGTGCGCACAGGCCAGAATGAAACCCATTGATTTGCACAGCCAGTCTGCACTAGGAGAAAGTGGAGAGGGGAAAAAAGTGAAGACAAGCTTGTGCGCCAGTGTGCTGGTGTGTGTCTATAGTCCCAGCACTCGGAGGCGGAGGCATGAGGATTCCAAGTTTGAGCCCAGCATGGGCAGTTTAGCAACTGAATGAAATCTTTAAAAAAAAAAAAAAAAAAAAATAGAAATGGCTGGGTTGCAGTTGGTACACAGGGCCTGGGTTCAGTCCCCAGGGAAGTGGAGCCTCCTGGAGGCAAGTCTGGGCACAAGCTCGCAGTGGCGTCTGCTCTCCTGGGAGGTGTGGGTAGTCGTGGGCACTTGAAAGCAGGGCACGTTTCCTGGGCGTGCAGTGCAGGTGCGTCTGCAGCAAACAGTGGCCAAGCCAGAGCTCCCCAGCCCTGCTCCCCTGCTCGTCCCGCAGCGCCTCAGTGAGCTGCTGTCGCCTGTCCCTTCCCGTGTGCCTGTTTGTGACGGGCGAGCCTGTTTTTTCCCTCTTCTGTTATTTCTATGGCTGATCATTTGTTGGTGCTCTTGGCATTCGCCCTGCCCTTAGGAGTTAAGACGTGAGTGTGTAGTCGAGTAGCGGCGTGCTCTGCAGCGTGGGGCTGGGTGCACGGGCCACCGGGGTTGCTTACCCAGGCATTGCTCCCTACACTTTGGTCAGCTAGCTTTAAAAGGGAACTGTAGCTTTATGTGCAACTATGAGAAATTCGCAGAGAGAACCCTTGAACATGGGATTGTTTATTTTTGTCTTTTTTTTTATTTTTTTATTTTTTTATTTTTTTGCGGAACCAGGGATTGAACTCAGGCAGGCCCTTGCGCTTGCCAAACAAGCACTTATTCCACTGATCCATCTCCCTGGCCCTATTTTTGTCTTTTTGAGACAGGGTCTCGCTATGCAGCTCAGGCTGGCCTTGGGCTCACTCTGTAGCCCAGGCTGGTCTGGAGCTTGGAATGATCGATTCTCCTGCCTCAGCCTCCTGAGTGCTGGAATCACAGGGGTGTGCCACCACGCTTAGCTTACTACACAAGTTTTAAGGTCTTATTATTAAGAAGTTATATTTGTTGTGGGCATAACTGGTGTAAAACTGCAGATAGAAGCATTTAGTGAATCTACAGGGTGAGATCACTCTGCCTTGCGGCTATGGCAGATACAGAGGTGTCCTATAGCAGCCAGACCTGCAGGGATGTTACAGTTGTCTCTGGGGAGGTGACCCGAGGAAATGGGGTAAGCCAGGCCCCCCGTAAGCAATGGAACCTGCACCTGGGGAGAGCGGTAAAGTTGCCTGCTGAGCTGCATGGTGCCCCCTGCAGGTCGGCTCTCTCGTGCCCCAGTTTTACAACTCCAGTCTTTCATTTGTCCTGGGTCTCCCCATTGCATCTTCTGCTTTTGGTGTGGAATACTGTGGTTGTTGAGTCTGATTTACTGACAAGTTTCTGTCATGCTTTTAGAATGACGCTCGGGACCGGCAGGAACACAGCGACAGGCGGAGGCCGGGCAACCCAGAGCCGGTTTCTAATGGCCGAGCCCAGGGCGGCGCCCGGCAGGTGGTGGAGCAGGATGAGGAAGAAGATGAGGAGCTGACTTTGAAATACGGCGCCAAGCACGTCATCATGCTGTTTGTGCCTGTGACCCTCTGCATGGTGGTAGTCGTCGCTACCATCAAGTCAGTCAGCTTCTATACGCGGAAGGACGGGCAGCTGTATGTACGAGCGTGCGGTTCTCACGGGGTGGGCTTCTCCTTCCCTGCATTTCACTGCCACCGTGCGGCCTCTGCATTGAGGAGCACGAGGGAGGCCGTCCGCTCTGCTGGCCGGAGCAGTGGAGCGGGCTGTCACTTCCTTTCAGTGATAGCATGAGTGCTATAGAATTGTTGCTTGGAGGTGGCCTTGGCTGGAACAGAATTTATTTGGAATTGAGCAAGTTAGAATGATTTTTACCCTCATCAGGGCTTTAGGGTCTCATCACCCCCCTCCCGATGCTGTGTTAATAACAAAATCAAAGTAAAGCGGAAAAAAAACAGGTTTTAGAAAAGACAGGAAACAGAACAGCGCCCAGGATCTCAGCAGTACAGTTGTAGGCTGGACGCACCCTGGTGTGTTGTCCATGAGACCCAGATTTCCAGGAGGTTTTGATTACCCCCGCTTGGTCCATGAAGCACTTGACATCACTGCCTGAGGGTGAACCTGAGGGCTGGGAGAGTCCCAAGGGCCCCAGTTGATGGACCTGGAAAGTGACCTGCACATGTCTAAAGGTTTCTCGGGATGCATCGCTAAGACACTGTCTTTTTTTAAGTTCTTAAATTTTCTTTAGGTTTTATTTTTGTTTTTCATAAATTTTATTAAAACTTTATTTTATTGATACAGCGTCTCACTATGCAGTTCCAACTCATTGTGATCCTCCTGTGTCAGCCTCCCCACTGCTGGGATTACAAGCATGCACCAGCAGGCCTGGCTTGGGGGTCGACGCAGCATGCCTAGTGTTCCAGGGCTTGGCATGGCATGCGGTACCAAGAATTGAACCCAGGTCCTTGCGCTTGGCTAGGCGGGTGCTTAAGCCGCCAAGCTATCTTCCCAGCCCTGTTTTTGTTTTTTTCAGTTTCTGTTTTTTATTAATATATGCTAGCAGTACAGAATGATCACACTCATCTTAATTCTTCTAGAGCTGTTTTTATTTGTTTTGTTTTTTGAGAGGGGTCTCACTATGTAGTGCAGGCTGGCACTGAACTTGCTTATGTAGCCTAGGCTGGCCTTACACTCAGGGCGAGCCTGTTTCAGCTGTGACCCCCAGTGCCTGGGGGCTCAATTGTCACAGCTTGCAAGTACATTTATTTACATTATTGAACATGTAATTTCCTCTTCTACTGAAAGGCTGGGGAAGGTACTTAAGAATTTTAAGTGAGATTTAGAAGATGAAATTGGAAAGTGTCCAGAATACTTGATGGTGTTCTGCAAGCGAAGCCTGGGCTAAGACATGAGGGAAGGGTAAGGGGTGGAAACGGTAGCTGCCTAAGTAAGGGTGAGGCTGGGCTGTCACAGAATGCGGTGTGGCAAGCTGTGCCCCCAGGACTTCTCTGCCCACCTCCTGTTGTGAATAAGGTCACTGGATCCACAACCACATCCACGCATTTATATTCTGTCCTTGGCTGCTTGCTGCTTCTATGCTACAGTGGCAGAGCTGAATGGTTGTAGAGGGGCTGGAACCCACGAGGCTTAACATACTTACCTTCTGGCCCTTCATAGACAGTCTCCCGACCGAGCCTGTTACAGAGCATCAGAACAGCTGCTTTCAGCAGGGACTGTTTTTCTCTTCCCACCGAGCGGGGAGGAGCCAGACCGCCCATGCTTGTGCGGTCAGCTTTGTGGTCATCAAGGACTCAGCTCTTCCTTCTTCCTTGACCCTTCAGGGTCCACACTGGAGCCCACCTTCATCCACACAGCAGGGAAGGAAAAGGGTAGAGGCCATCTCTGCAATAGAATGGACTTTTTTCTGGCGAGTCCTTAGGCGGCATGTCTGCTGGGCCACCCTTAATCTCGGCATACTTAGGTATACAGCCTTTTGGCTGAGACCAGCATTTAGAATAAAAGTATTTTGCTCAGCATGGTGATGCATGACACACTGTAATCCCAGCACGTGGGAGGCTCAGGCGGGAGGATCGTTGCAAGTTCAAGAGCAGGGTTACAAAGTGAGCTCAAGGGCAGCCTGAGCTGCATGGGGAGACCCTGTCTCCAAAAGATGAAGGTGTTTTAATGTGAGAACCAAAGGGGGGATTGCTGTCAAGATGACTGGCATCACGAGCACTCTACGGATGAAAGACAATAATTGGAAACCGTATTATCTTCCTCTGTAGTGGAAACCACTAGTCAGCCAAGATAGTTTATGCAACAAAATCTTGTTATTTAGCAGATCACTGAGGAGAACTTTTGGTGAGGTAATTACTTCAGTTAAAGCATCCGCTAGATGGAGCCAGTGCCTGGTTCACACGTGAGCTCATCTCCCTGTCTCTGATGTTTCTTTTCATTTTGAAGCATTTTAGTCTATTTTTCTTGTAGATCTTTTTTTTTTTTTTTTTTTTTTTGTGGCAGAACCAGGGATTGAACTCAGGCCCTTATGCTTGCCAGGGAAGCACTTATTCCACTGAGCCATCTCCCCAGCCCTTAGTCTATTTTTCTTAGTTAAAATTTTTTTAGCCATAGTGATAAGATGGGAAAAAGTAACTGGGTCAGTTTAATAAAATAAAACAAAATTATGGTGTTGGAGAGGATGCCACTTGGAGTATCCATTAACACTTACCCGGCCGGGCTTACGTCTTGCTTCCTTTCAGAATCTATACCCCGTTCACAGAGGACACAGAGACCGTGGGCCAGAGAGCCCTGCACTCCGTGCTGAACGCCGCCATCATGATCAGCGTCATCGTGGTCATGACCATCCTGCTGGTGGTTCTGTACAAATACCGGTGCTACAAGGTGAGCCTGCGCCTCAGCCAGGCCTTCTGCCTGCTCTGCTCAGCATGGTGATGCATGCCTGGGTTTCCCTGTCACGTGCCTTACTTGGCTAGTAAAGAGAAAAGGTCGTATATTCCAGACATAATGTGTTGTTATCGTCCCTGTAATTGTGGAATATTTTAAAGACATAAAAAGGCATAAATGGAAAACACATTTTTATGGGTACTTAAGATTTTCTGGAATATATACTCTAAAATTATTAAATATGCTCTCATTCACAAATAGTGCCATAGGATATAATCCCCCCCCCCTTTTTTTGGTGGCACTGTGGATCGAACTTGGGAACTTGCGCTTATCAGGCTGGCGTTTATGTCGCTGAGCCATCTCCCCACACCTACCTCCTCCAGTAAAATATTTTAAAATTGAGATTCTCACATTTGAGGGCAGAACAACAAGCTGTCTTCAGCTGCTGATGTTAAAGCACATCAGCAACTGGCCGTGTCCTCAACTGTCACTGTCCACGTGCATAGGTCTCCTCTCTGTGGCCCTGCTTCCTTCCTTGGGAAAGGGGCCAGGGAGGCCATGCAGAAAGACACGGGCCCAGACACCAGATGTCACCCACTCTTCCCCTTGTGTCACTCGCCAAGTGACTCACTCCTGAATCGTAGCCACCTGGCACCTGTTTCAGACTCAAGCTCCAGGAACTTGCGAATTATTATAAATCGTAAGCCTCTACAATCATTCTCAAGTACTAGGAGTTACGTTAACTTCCCAAATGTTAGAGTCTACTCTGTGTCCTTCAAAGTAGCGTTCTAGTATATTTTAAAAACTTGATTAAAACATAAAATTAGTATGTGTTGTTTCTCAGCTTTTACTTTGGCATAAGCATTTTTTCTGTGTTATAAATTCTTAGAAAATATTTCTGTGGCTACATAATGTTTGACTCAAAGAGTATATGTTGTAATTATGTCTTATTTCTCTGATATTGGAAAACCAGTTTGTTTCTGGTTATTCATTATTATAAAAAACTTCTTTATGCATAGAACTTTTATGATCTTTTCCTTAGGGTAAAATCCTAAACATGAAATTTCTGGAGCAAATTAAATCTGCATTTTTACCCTGTCATTATGCAAACTTTCTTGTTTAAAAGGGTTATATCAATTTGTGTGTAACACCTGTAATAAGTGAGAATGTCTCTCTTACCCCAACTTCACAACATTGAGGGGTTTTTTTGTTTCATTTTTTGTATTTAGTACAGGGTCTCACTATGCAGATCGAACTCGTACTGATGCTCCTGTTTTCAACCTCCCAAGTGCTGGGATTACACGTGCGTGCTACCACGCCCAGTCTCAATCAATGTCTCAGCGCATGCACGCAGGGAATGATTGAACCCCAGCCACTGTGCTCTGCCTAAGCAGGCGCTTTAGTGTGTTGAGCTACCTGGCCAGCCCTTGTTTTGTTTTTTGAGACTGGGTCTTGCTATGTGGTTTAGACTGGCATCAAACTCATAGTGAGCCTACTGCCTCTGCCTCCCCACATGTTGGAATTACAGACATGCACCACCACGCCTGGCAAGTTTTAAGTGGTGTTAATTTTTATAGGCAGGAAAAATGTCTTAACTTGCATGTAGTTGATTACTAGTTAAGATGGAATATTTTCTCCATTCTCACAAACTCTAAAATGACACCGTTTGTTAACCTGTGGAGCCCGTGAGTGGGTAGAATAGTTACCCTGAGGGGCTGTCTGTGGGCTGCTGTTATTATATGGAGAGAAGATGAAAGACTGTGTGATAACAGGGCCTCGGCACTCAGGCCAGAGGGCAGGTGATTTCAGGGCTCGCTTGGCTTTGATATGCTCGCCCCTGGCTGTCTTTATCCTTATCACCAGCCGTATCTTACCAGTATCTGCGAGTGTTTACCCGCTGGCTCCAGTTCTCTCTGTCAGAGTCACTTTTTGACTTTTATGGGAATGGTGTGCTGTTTTGTTCTTTTTCAGATTTTATTAAGGGCCGAATTTCTGCTTCCTTCTTTTTCTTGTAATCTAGAGTGAACTCCCAGATGTTCCACTGTTCTTTTTTTTTTTTTAATTTATTTATTTATTTGTGTGTGTGTGTGTGTGTGTGTGTGTGTGTGTGTGTGGCCAGCTCAGCCCACCAGGAGGCGGGATGGCTGGCATGTGGTGCTGGGGGATTGAACTGCGGTCCCTGGGCTTTGCTAAGCTTGTTCTAAGTAGGTGCTTTAAACCACTGAGCCATCTCACCAGCCCCTCCACTGTTCTTTTTCAAAATACCTGTGTCATTAGATTGATGGAATTCTAAACTTAAGATTGCCTAAGTTCTTTTCCCTGAGAATATTAGAAATAATTTTAATTTTTATGTATTTGCTTATGTCAAATGCAAGCACTAATCCTAAACTCCCTCCTCTCTGATTTTAAATGTGAATGGGCTTTCCCCATAGAGGACGGCACCCTAGACCGTGCACACCCTTTTGGCCTTCTGTATGCCGTCCTCTCAACATCCTCGCAGCAGTGCCGCCAAGCAGCCTGCTGCTGTCCATTTCCAGGTGGGGAACTGGGTAGTGTCCCACAGTCATGTGGATTAGAAGTCCAGAGTCGGGCCTGGCCCAGCACACAGTGTCAGCTGCAGTTCTCGGTGCCTCCAGCTGCATAGAAGCCACTAGCTGTGTGGTGGCCGGTGTCACCTGTGGTTGTATCTGCTGGCCTTCTGCACCGTACTGCCGTTGGCTGCGTGCTGTTGGCCTGTGCCATTGGCCTCCCAACTTGGCATTGCTTCTTCTGCCTTTGTTCCTTCCTAAGTCCTCTTCAGGGTTCTTCCTAAAACCTACCAGTCCTGAGTCTCTGGCGCCGGACTGTTTGTTTCTCTCATTGCCTTTTGGAAGAGTGTATATAACCTTGTGGCTTAAGTTTATACCCTCACACACAGCTTTTAGTCTAGAAGTCTCTGCTTATCAGGCTAGTTGATTTTTTTTTCCTTTCTATCAGTGGCACTCGGGTACCTGCTCGCATATAACTTGAAGTAATTATGTTTTGTGCTGTCCCTTTATCATTCGTAGGTCTACTCGCCAGGGCCTCTGTGCTGTTCATTTTGTAGTCATTGCCGTCTGTCATATCCATCATTATTACCCATGATTATCAGTTACTTTTGTTTTTCATGTCTAGCTTTTCTGATGCTGGTCTTCTCTAGCTTGATACTTAGGTGATCTTGTAAGCCAGCAGGGGTGCACCTGTGGTCCCTGTTCTCCTGCAGGCTGTTTGTATCATTGAAAGCTCTAAAAGGTTCACTGTCACTGTTCTACACTTTACCTTCTCCCTTTCAGCTATCACAGAGGCACATACAGCGGGGCTAGCAGTGTAGCTCAGAGCAAGGATGCTGCCCAGCAGAGGTGAGGTCTTTGGTTCAGTCCCCAGCACTGCAAAAATGGTAATAGTGATAAGTGGGGTAGGAGGGCACTGCTCACTGCGCGGGAGCTGTGCCTGGCGGAGTGACTCCCGTCCCCAGGGGCTGCTGTTAACAGCGTAATGGGCTTTTTAAAAAATTTTTATTTGAATACTAGTACATGCAAATATGTACTTTTTTCAAGAACAGAAATGAGGCATATTAACTCTCCTCTTTTGTAACAATAATTCTCCCCTCTCTCCTGTCTCCTTTGTTTTCTAACTTATGAGTAATGTTTGGAACTCTTTATCTCAGGTGATTTTCTTCAAATATTTGTTTTTGTTTTTAGAATATGTATATATATATTGATTGATTGATTGACTGATTTTAGTACAGGGACTACAGGGTCTTACGACACAGATCGGACTTGTAATGATTCTCCTGTTTTCAGCCTCCCAAGCGCTGGGGTTACAGGTGCATGCCACCATGCCCAGTCTCATTTGCCCATCTCAGCGTGCCCTGAGGGCAGAGCCAGCACTGCATGCCAGGGATTGAATATTTCTAGAATTCCTGTTTGTTATTTTTTGTTGTTGTTGGTTTTTATTTTATTTTATTTTATTTTTTTGTATTTTTAGTAAGGGTCTACAAGGTCTTACTACGTAATCAGACTCATAGTGATCCGCCTGTGTTCAGCCTCCTAAGAGCTGGGATTACAGGCGCACGCCTCCACACCCAGTCTCATTTGCCGTCTCAGTGCACCCCGGGGGCAGGGCTGGCATGGCAGGCCAGGTATCGAACCCTGGCCAGTGTGTCTGCCTAAGCAGGGTGTGTGTGTGTGTGGCCAGCTCAGCCCACCAGGAGGCGGGATGGCTGGCATGTGGTGCTGGGGGATTGAACCGCGGTCCCTGTGCTTTGCTAGGCTTGTTCTAAGTAGGTGCTTTAGACCACTGAGCCATCTCACCAGCCCCAAAATAGAAAGAGTCGGGACGGGGGCACGAACCGGCGACCTCGTGCTCCATAGCCCGGCGCGGAGACTGCTGCGCCAGGTTGCCGCCTCTAAGCAGACACTTTAATCCATTGAGCCATTTGTCTGGCCCTTGTTGGTTTTTGTTTTTGTGGTGCTGGAGATACTTTGTTGTTTTTAAATGTTTGGGTATTGTCTCTTGCCTTGGTCATATTTAAAAATTTTTTATTTGGTTACATATTACTTATTTTTGTTCTATATTCAGTCATTTCAGTGTCTGAAGTTTTGGGAGGAGTATAATTCTGTAGACTGTTACCCATAATGACTTGTTTCCTCTGGTATGTGGTGATCACTTCCAGCGTGTATTTACTAGCGTGTAATTTTGGAGATTCTGTCAGACTTGTCCTTTGCATGGACACGAAACCCTAAAATTCATACTTGATGGAGTTTGGCATATACTCTTAAGCTACCTGACAACTTTGTACCACCCTAAGCCCCTTGATTCCTGCTTCCCTACTTTTTTTTGGTGATGGTGGTAGTGTTCTAAAAATTTCCCTCCACCTTTAGACCTCAAACTATGTATTTCAAAGCATATTTAAAATATTTACTGTTTGGAATGTTTTCTGGAGTGGAAGTTTTCAGCATTGGTCCTCCATAGTGCTA